TTGACCAACTCGGTGATAAAAGCCCTGAGTGTTGCATTTAGATTTTTGCATGAGCATAAAAAAAATGAATATTTCAGATCAGAGTCCAAGTCTAAAAACGGGCCAAATTGTCTGATCGATGGAGGCCATGGTTGTTTGGTTACGACTAACAGGTGTTAAGCTGCTCCTGAATGAATTTGTATGTTTTTTCAAGCGGAAATTGAGAAAAAAAAAATAGCCTAAGGGGTTATGGACTTATGGACCTGTTTTATCTGCCATGCACATGTCTGCCTTACAGCTCCATTTTAAGTGTCTACCTCAGGGAGTGATGATCCATTTAGAAATCATTTGTAAAAATGAAAACAGAGCTAAAAAAATCAAGATGGGCCTATCTGTGTGAGTTTAGATGGAGATTTCTGCTGTTTCTCATTTAGAATGAATGCATTATCCTTAATTAGATGCCACACGACTATATCCGATTGACTAAATTGTAACTTGAGTGTGTGGAAATGATCAGGGAGTGATCGAATTGATTGTCCAAATAACTGTAATGATAAAAGTTTCCCATTCACTTAGGTGGGAAGGGCTGGTGGAGATATTCGCTTGCACCTTGCGTCATCTAGTGGTGGGACCACGCTTCTTCCTCATCCTCATCATCCTCCTCCTCCTCCGCGTGGAAGAAGGGGAGAAAAAAAATGTCTCCGGGGAACTTGGGTCGATGCCTCGTCCCACCATATGTCTGATCGCAGCTGCCAATCAACAGGTCAACGCGACCCCGGGGAGGCAGAAAACCGGTGGGGAGAGATCAAACAGCGGACCTGGGGGATGACAGATGCAGATGGAAGAAGAAGAGAAAAAAAAAAGGCAATAAAACATTGCTTCAAAGATGGCAACGGTGCAACGGGGAGGCGAATTATTGTTAACAATAATCTGCAGAATAGCGCCTCGCATTCTGATCGATTGACTATTACGGAGGCTTTGAAGGCTATTGTTCATAGTGGGACCCAGCCAGAAAATAGGGGGCCGGTTTTTTTTTTTTTGGTTCAAGTATAGCGCTTCTTAAGCCTTAAATACTACTTGCCTCTCTGTGCAATCACGCTTTTTCTAACAGACCTGCAATTTGGGCTCCCGACAACCTTCAGGCCAATTGAAAGTTTCCCCATCTGCAGCTGCATAAAAACTTCTTGAGGTAAATGTTTAAATGTTTAAAACACCGCGCAGCTCTGCTCCCAGTTTGTTTCCTGGGGATGCATTTTCAAAGCAACATTTCTTATTGGAAGAAGATCATTGCCAAGGCTGCACATGGAAAATTGATTCTAACATTTCTTTTGTCTTTTCCTTTTCAGCCTAATTTTTAAAAAAGAGACTCTCAGTAAAAGATTTTTTTATTTTTATTTAGATATACAGGGAAAAACTTGAATTTTTGTACTGGCATTTTGTCCAGTGGTTAGTTCCTCAAAAATCCAAAGATGGATTACCTCAATGGTTTAATTTGTTCTGTTTTGATCAAAACTGGAATTTTTATTTTGTTCTGACTGTTTAGGGTTCGTCGTCACAGATATGTTCAACTGGAATGATTTTAACCCTATAATGCCAAATGTATCATATTTGATTCATACAGTTTCTGAAGTCTTTTGGATCTAAGGCTTTTTGCATCATTCAGTGGTAAAAGCTTTTCTCAAACCCCTATTGTACACATTCAGATATACCTGATAACAGCCAGTAGATAACTACAGGAAAATATATTTTTGACTTATTGCACGCTAATTTGATCAAAATAATATCTGTTTTTTGTTCTTTATATGTTGTTGAGGGGCCAAAGAAAGACTTCAGACTAAAAAAATCCAATATTCTTCCTATTTTTCTTGGATCGGGCTTTAAAGAGTTAACTGGTATGATTTTAATGAATTGATCAAACTAATGAGTGAGACAGAAGCAGGGACAGTGATGAGATTATTTAGTGACTTATTCAAAATAATTCAAAATATCCTCCAAATTGTTCACACACAGGAAGCTGAAATCCAACATCCACCTGAACACAAATCAAAGCAGAGGAGCAGAACCCCCCCCCTCGTTTCTGTCTGTTATCTATCTGCACATCCAGGTTCAGGGGTGTGAGGCGTCTCCACCAGATCACGGAGTTACTGTGAGTTAACGGGAATCAGCTTTGGAATGCTGCTGTAAATTGGGAGCATTAAAACACGACCATAATGTTTCATCGCCGTCTCAGCAGGACTGATCTTCTTAGCTCACTCTCTGCTAATCAGCAAAAAATCTTTGGGCTTTAATCTACGGCCCCCCCACCCACCCCACCCACCCAGCACCCCTCCACCCATCTCATTAGATTAACAAAATAACATGCACGTATGAGAGAACACACACACACACATACATACAAACACACACACACACACAGATCTTGACCTCAATCTAATTTCCCCCTTTTAAAAAAAGAAGGTCACTTATAATAATTAGCTTTGATTGTAATGTTAATGCTATTTTTAAAGAAAATCACTCAAAAAAGGCCAATGTGCTTATATAACCCCACGTGCACATCACCTAATATTTCATAGCTTGATCGTTTAGTGCCTCTGTGTGTGTGTGTTTGTAAGTGTGTGTGTAAGCGTGTGTGTAAGTGTGTGTACAGCAAACATATGCAACCAAATTAAAGCCGTAAAGCTGGTGAATTGAAGAGGATTTCATGCAGAGACCTGTTCATGGGAATTAAGCAAATTAGGTCTCCAATTAGCTGCTGACATTGAATAGGAAGATTTGCCGAACAAAAATTAATTAGATGGATTTGTCATTGTTCTAATGAACATCAAATACAAAGTGTTGTGAATAACACCTGCTCTCTCTGCCTTTATCCCTGTGACGTACTGTTTGTCTATCCCCAATCCAATTTAATGTCAAATACCCCCTTATTCAAATATTCAATAATTTGCAAATAAGAAGCCCACATGAGCGGAGACAAACAAACTTCAGAAAAGTCAATGTGGGATCTAATCCTCTCAGGCTGCAGCACACTGGATGTAAATGCCAACGTTTCCACTCAGAGAGGAATGTGGTTATCGATGTATAGGCAGATAGGTAAAAACTGACATCGTCCTTTGTTTTTTGCAGCATTATTTTGGAGCCATCTAAGGAAGAGCTGATGTTCTGGCCTCCGTCTGGGTTTTGAATGTGGATTGCCTTTATTCATTTTTTTAAATCAAAGCTATGATAATATTTTATGCATGTTAATAGAAGATTGTAAAAAAGAAGATTTTTCTATTTATTTAGAAGAATTTGTTGAAATACTAGGTCAAAATTAAAGTAGCAATCTCCCTTTTTTTGAGTGACGTTGATCATATCCAATTCAAATTATCTATCTATCTATCTATCTATCTATCTATCTATCTATCTATCTAT